CTGTTATTAAGCTTGGGCCTGCTTTGCTCTGTTCTAGATTCCACTTCACAGCATTCAAGGGAGGGATCACATTTTCATGGGGGCACTGGCATTGTGCCAGTGTCAAACCATGACAACAATGATGGAAGGATTTTTCTTTTCTAGTTCAGAAACAAGCAGCATAACCTACCCCTCTCTAACAGCATATTTTGGGTTATATTGCACACCTGTATCTCTGATTACTGCTAAGCAGCTGACTCAAGTATGGAATCTGTAACAGAGTAAGTCACAACACCTGTGAAACCACCACATTTGGCATGACAGCTGATCACTTACACACAGCAAATTAAACCAAGTAAGGACAAGCACCACATGAAAATTTATTGTGAAGTGCAGTAATTTTTTTTTTCCTGCTCTCTGATGTACTGAATTATGTCACCTCTCTAGCAAAAGATGCTTCTGCCAGTAGGGAGGGAAGGAATCAAGTACTACATTGCTTTTCTGTTTGAGTACAGACAAGCTATGGAAGACAACAAATGTCTATTAGCCTGGCCTGACTATTGGATCCAATAGTACAGAATACCATACTTAAAAGAGTACCTGACAAGTTTGTAAAATGAAAGACAAAACTTTATTAATAGTTACATAAATGTAGTAATTTCAGCTCAGAAATTATTCTAGTTACAATACAATAGCATTTGCAATAAATAACATCTTCTAGAAATAGATTCCTAATATAAATTTTGCTCACCCATCCACCCACAGGGAGAAGTGCTTTCATACAGAGACAAAATACAGATGTGCAGCTCATCTGCATCTGATCCATAGCCTGTACAAAAATCATTTGCCTTTGTTGCCTCCTTCTTAAAATTTTATTTCTAAATTTTATATTTCCCTCCTTTGTCTCGGGGAGTTGAGGATATAAAAGGTACATTAAATGGTTTTTTCTTTGCTGCAGAAGTATGGGATTAGTATTAAAGTTAGGGATCCCTGATAAGCAGTAACTGACATTAAGAAATGAATTCACCAGTATCCCATTTCCCTTCTCCTGGAGGAACATTTTCCTCTCTCAAATCTCACTTAAATGTCAGAAGACTACACTTACTGTTTTTTTATTACTACCACCCTGAAGCTCCATCTGACTACTGCCCATTACCAGTATACTGGGGGGCAAAATTAGTTTCACTTGAGGTGAGCAGGAATAGAACAGGAATAAAATCAGGAATAAAACATTTGCCTAGGAACTCTATTATTTCAAGAACATCAGAGTATCTGAGGAAAGTTTGCACCAGCACAGAGAACACATGCACGCACTTACTACCTCACTGTTACGTTCTTTGCATGTGTGTGAACTTCTGATTGCCCAAAGGAAAAAAAAGGAAAGGAAAACTGACATATAAACAAACAGCTGACAGCAAAAAACAGATGCTGGAACAGTACTTTTATCTGACAGAGGGAGAGTAAGACTGTCTACTAAAAGGACAGAGTTGATAATCTATTTTTGCACACAAAACAAGAATAAAAACCTTTTTTCATCTATGTAAATAAACAATTGTCTGTAATCAGACATATTACATTTTGCTTTGTTTTTTCTAATTAATATGACAGGTTGAACCACAGGACAGAGAATTTGGATGTGGATCTCAACAGGTTTGCCGAGGTAAATTTTCTTCCATACTGCAGTATGATTCTAGTTGGGAAAATAAAATCCACAAGACAATTACCTGTTTGCAGCCATGGCAGTTTCATGCTGTGTATGTACTACATTGAATACTACAATTGGATACTGAACCTGTTTAATACTTAGGAAGTTTTTTTCCAAAATACACTCCTTCCTTAAAATGCAAATAAAGGCACTCCTTTCACATAGCTGGACAATCCCTTGTGCATGTAAAATCGAGATGCAAATGAAAATCCAGTGCTTACACTTCAAGGCAATGAGGCACTGCAAATATCACCACACTGCCTGCCTTCAACAAGAGACAGTATCTTAGCAGTGCCAAACTGAATTATTCTTTGCTTTCAGGAGACTGAGCCATATAGGACAAGCTCTATCTGGTCTCCTCTGCTTCTCAGTGCAGATGAGTCTCTTGGGCATTTTACAAATCAGCTGCCAGTACTCTTTCTGTATGTGAAGGAAAACAGTGTGCAGAAGTAAATGTGAGGACTGAGAACCTGCTTGGAACCTAAAATAAACTGAACCAAAGGCTAAGAATCCAAATTCTGCCATTTCATTTACACCATTACAGCCTGTTTTCTGAACCTTTCATTCAAGGTATGAATTGACATTCTGTAAGAAAGCAGTAGTTCTAGAAGTAAAAATTATACTGAATCAAGATACAAGGCTTGCTATTGTCCCTCCTAAATTTCTGACACAAATATGCTTGGCCAAGTGACACAAACATGATACCACAAATTCACAGAGCCAGAAATTATTGCTTTCAGCTTCTGTACAAGTGCCATATATTAAAAGCAATCAGAATCAGAAGCAGCTGAAAAATTTAAACTACATTCAACTTTGAAAATACATCTAAAATACTGTTAGCAAGAAAGGTGTTAAACTATCATCAGAGAACTAAATTTACCAAGCAACGTCCACTTGCTAGGGCCTTATACAATGAGAAATTGGTCTAATATTTCTTATTTGTTAGAGTGAGAAACACTTGGCCCACGAACTTACCAGAGAGACAAAGATCTGGGCCCACCAGTGTGCGTCTGTTGGCAGAGGAATAGTCCTGAAAATTCTGCAGCACTAAGGAATGCAGGTTTATGATTCCTGGAGTTGTTTTACTAGAGAAACAATTCTTCATTCTGGTGCTGTTTGCATGTTTGTTTGTTTTAAAAATGTTTTTCAATACCTTCAAAGAACAACATCCTAGGTTTCAGCACTGGCTTTAAAAAGATAAAATAAACCCAAAAGACATAAGTCACTAATTTCACAAAACTGACAGATGCTGCAGACTGCACTGACATGCTCTAGAAGGTAAGCTTATAGATAAAGGCACACTGGAGACAGTATTTAGCAGAAGCATCAATGGCAGCACAGCACCTACAAAATTGAAATTATTTAAGCAACTTATTTGCTTGTTTAAAAATGCATGTTTTCAAGAGACTAATTCCTGCTAGAACATTGTGTAGTATTTCATAATGGATTAAGCCCAACATTTGGATTTCAGAAATAAATTAATTACTGGTTTGAGTGGGCTTTAAGTTTTTTCAGGAATGCTCTAAAAACAGGAATGCCTGTTTTTTTCAGGAATGCTTTTATTATGTTAGCACATCTGTAGCGGGAACTGAAAGACATCAGAAACTGACCTTGCTTTTGTTGACCAAGTTATTTAAAAATACATATATACATATATATACATAGACACACACTCTCTCAAGAAGAGGGAGAGTGTGATAAAGTAGATTTGTTTCAAGAAATAGCCTAAACCCCCCATTTACAGAGTTGAAGCTTTCATACCATTCATACTGCACTGCTTATGGGAAAAACACAGACAACACTTGTATTAGCCCTTTTAGTTCTGCACAGCATCTCCCACCACAATGATTCCTGCAGTCACATAAAGATCTCCAGAGAGATGCAGGGCTGGACACAGGGTAAATACTCCTCAGTGCTGAATTAGTCCCTAGTAGCCTTAGGGACTGTTACTGACTGCACTTGAGAATCAGAAGTATGAAACAAGTTATGAGCATGCTATATTGCTGCAAATTTTGACCACTGATTTCTTCCAGCCTAGACAGTTTTGACTGCTGCCCAAGTCCACTAACAAGAGAAGCCCAGAAGCCACAGTGTTCAACCCAGCTACTCTGTTGTATTAGACTTCTAAGAAAGGATGGAGAAAGCCCCAGAATTCTCTACTACATTATTCCTCATGATGGAAATGGGATATGTCCCCTCCCCGACCCTTCTAAACTGCTCCCTTTGGTCTCTACGCTGCTTCATCCTCTGATAATGGGTTCTCTACCACTGAATTAAAAAAAAAAAAAAAAACAAAAAAAA